ATACTTTAGAGAAGTATGTGTTATTGTTTCAAAATGATCTTAGTGATAACAGTTGGAGACTGAGCAACAGGGAATGATTTATATTTCTCAAGTAAAATGTGAAATTTTGCTGCTGATTCTGCTGTTAGAGAAATCGTTGTAGCCAAATTTAGTATCATTTACCTCAGCTGCCCCACAGCTTTTTTAAGGCAGCCTACCAGCCAAGAAAAGGAAATGCTTTCACTTTAGAGCCTTTGGAAGCCTGGACAAAAGCTCACTTTCTGTTCTTCAGGTTTCCTATATATGGCTTTCTGCTGGAGATGAGGACCTGCTCACTATGCACTCTCTCCCATCCCCCATTTCCTGCCTGGGTTCATTAAATGCTGATTTGGAGTTGGCACACACTTTTCTGATACAAAAGTAGTACTGTGTTCCTGGAACCATCAGAAAGTAGTGCATTATTATCTTTCACATTCCCTTCATATATATGCACTCTCTCCATGCATAGAATGGATTTTTATCCCTTCTTCTTAAATATCTGTGTATTTAATAAAAAGAAACAGATTGAAGCAGAGCTCTGTCAAAAAATAAAACCTCAGCTCATTTGGGAGCAACTTTGCCCCAGGCTGTATTCTTTAATGCTAGTATCTGCAAATTGCTAGTATTAAGCAAAGTGGAGTATGTGATGTAATGACTTCATGAATCATTTTCATATCTCTAATGCTTGTATTTCGATGTCATGTTACTCAGGAGAGAATACTTTCCTATGTCCTGAACAAAGATAGTTGTAATGAAATTAGTGTATATCCATACAGAAGTCTGTGTATTTTCTGTTTTAACAGTGCAGTTAGTTACTTCTTTCTCAGTAGATGAAGCCACCATAAGAGATGAGAAAAATCACAAGATGCTATCTTTTGTCTTCATCTAAGAAGAATTATCAACATTTTCTGTTCTGTTGAGATAACTGTAAGTCCTAAAAGGAGTTAGGTAACTGATTCTTGGATTGCTTATAAGATCTTCTGTTGTTGTCCCTTTACAGTGAATTAAAGAGTAACAGCAAGCACTAAAAAGATGCATTAAGGAAGTAGTGCTGATACTCTGAATAAGCCATATTACTGTAGCACTCATTATTCCAAATTAGCCTGCACAGTTGCATAAACAAAGTCATTCTCAGGTTCATCTTTCTTAAAATCCATTTGACTGAATCGGTCAAATGGATGACAAGTGATTCCCATCAAAATAAATAACATGGACTTTGATGTCCTTTGAAGAAAATCACTGTTTTCTTTTCTATTAAATACTTTCAAATAATATATTTTCCCATTTTCCATGTGGGAACAGATTATTGCTTGTCCCAAAGTGCTAAATTGTGTAGAAGCACAAAGATTTGCAGACTGAAGAGGCTCGGCTAATAATGACCAGCCAATATCAGGTGTATCCTGGCTCTAGGTAAGTAGACCAATCTATCATCTTACTGCCTTGAAAAAGCGTAGCCCTGTTTTCGTCATCTGCCATGATCCCAGCTGTGTGCTTCTTTTCTCTTATTTCATGCACTCTGGCTCTTTGGTCAGATGTTTCAGCTCCCTGTAATTGTAGGAATCTAACACAGCAAACCTCACCTCAGCACCTTCAGCAGTGTAGAGCAATTCTATTACCTCAGGAAGATGAGATACAGGACATATCCTTTATCAGTTAGAATTAATTTAATCTGGAGTATTGGACCTTAGTGGGATGCTTAGTGATGTGCAGAAAAGTAGCCACATGCAGTAACAGCTGCAAGACTTCATGAAGGATTTTTCAATGATTTTGTGATATTAATGGGTGAAAAAAGAAGGTTAATTCTTGAGTTTGTACCTGCCTGAGGAAGCTGTTCTGCAGCAAGCTGGTGCGTAAACTTTAAGCCTCAGGAGTTATTTGGCACTGGCTCCCCAAGTGGCGCTCCTGTTCCACACTGACAGTGATTTTTAGTGATGAGCATAGTCAGATTTGCTACTGGATTAATTATACTGAGCAAAGATTTGAACCATGTGCAACAGAAATACTTGTGGGATGGCTAATGCAGAACAGTTATTTAAAGCAATGTCCCTCTGAAGACCAGTTCTAAGAACTATGAGTTGAAGTATCAAACCAAATACTCATCTAAATCATAAAGCAAATTGATTACTATAATTCTTCAGCATTCACAACTAAGGCTATTCAAGCGCCATGCAAATATTCAGGTTACAAATTAACAACAATTGTTTTTAAAAAAATTATTTTTCACTTTGTTCACTTATTTGCATTCCAGAATCTAAAGGATTAGAATCATTCAAAGGTATTCTCATATAAGCTTTGGGCCAGTAAATGAACATTAAGCGTGTATGTGCCTATTTATAATTTTAATCTACTGCTGTATCTTTGAAGCTTAAAATACTTATTTTTGCCTTTTTGACTATCAGAGAAGTGTTGACCATTGTAGGTTTGTTACTATTGCCTTCATGTAGGAGCGCACTGAAGAACATAAGATTGCTATAGCGATCCAGACCTCTTGAAGCCAGCAATAATTGTGCTTCAGCTTCAGTGGAGATGTTGGTGGATGAAAAACTTAACAGGAGCCAGCAGTATGCAGCTTGGAAAGCAAATGGTATCCTGGGCTCCATCAGAAGACTGGTGGCCAGCAGGGAGAGGGAGGTGATTGTCCCTCTCTACTCTGTCCCCATGAAGCCCCATCTGAGTACTGTGTGCAGGTCTGGAGTCCCCAGTGCAAGAAAGACAAGGAGCTGTTGGAGAAGGAGGAGGGCCACAAAGATCAGAGGTCTGGAGCATCTTCCTAAGAAGACAGGCTGAGAGAGCTGGGCTTGTTCAGTTTGGAAAAGAGAATGCTGTGGGGTGACGTCATTGCAGCCTTCCAGTACCTAAAGAGAGCCTACAAACAGGAGGGGAGCCGACTCTTTACAAGAGTAGATAATGGCAGGACAATGGGAAATGGTTTTAAGTTGAAGGAGTGAAGATTTAGGTTGGATATCAGGGGGAAGTTCTTTACCAAGGCTGCCCAGAGAGGTTGTGGATGCCCCATCCCTGGAGGCATTCAAGGCCAGGTTGAATGGGGCCCTGGGCAGCCTGGTCTAGTATTAGGTATGGAGGCTGGTGGTCCTGCCTGCGGCAGGGGGATTGGAGCTTGATGATCCTTGAGGTCCCTTCCAACCCTGGCCATTCTATGATTTTGTGATAGTGGCATCTACACTACTCAGCCACTGACAGGTATGAAAAAAACACTTTCCAGTTATGCTCTTTGTCCTTTGGAACAGACCTTCTCAAACTGGTTAAATTTATTTAGTGCACTAAAATACAAGTTCTTATTGCAAGCCATCAAGTCCTAGCTAGTACCATCTTAGAGGTCTGTCATGGCAGACATTCAAGAAAGCAGTCATGGAAGCTAACAGTTCTCGAACATTGTTTTTGTCTTTTTTTGGAAGGTTTATTTTATGATTTAGAAGCCAATCTTCCTCATGCTTTTTCACTTTAAAAAAGGTGTCAGAGTGTGATGAAGGGAGAAAGGGTACAGCTGGTCACAGCAGCACTCAGGCAAATGGACAAATGCTGAACTGAATGAAACCTTCGTTTATTATTTTTTTTCTGCTAATGCACGCTCCTCTGGAGCTTTGTTCAGGTCTGTATGCAGGAGGGAGAATTGATCCCAGTTTCCAGCTTTCTCTGTTTTGAGATATTGCTTAGCCAAGCTTCAGTTCCAGAAGGAGAAATAAAAACAAATTCTGTTCCACAGTTATCTTTCACTAGCTCTTAGTAGTTTGCTTGATAGAGGGTTTACTTATAAGAACAGATAAATGACTTAATACAGCATCAAGGTAAAATATCACAGAATAAAAAACAAAGTAGAGCTTCATCTCTGATCTTAGCATGAAAAGGTTGTGTCCAAATGGAAAACAAAGGTGGAACTTGCTCAAGGTGCATTAAACATAATCCTAGGTTTTCTGGGAATCAATCCTGCTTCTTCATTTTCAGAGCATATATTTTTCTGTGTAAACGTTTCTAGGACACTGTAATAAATCTAGTTGTTTGGTGTGTTACTGAAAAAACATTGAAGATCTGGGCCTAAAATTGCTGACCAAGAAATGTTCTGCCAGCAAGTCTTGTCATAAGTTATATTTCTAACAGAAATCAAAAGGCACCAGTGGAGGCTATTTTCTATTTCTGTCATCAGACCGTAATCCAGTTATAAGGTTCCAAGTTCCAAGCTATATTTCCATCCAAGCGTTCACCTTCAAGGGAGATAAAAATGATGTAGAATGCAAGTTTCATTCATCTATTATTAATACCAATATTAATGGTAATTAACAGGTAACTTTAGATTTGAAATGGGATGAGAAAAAGCCATAGTGGTTTGTTCCTTGGGGAGAGAAAGAATTTAACTCAGTGAGTTACAGCTAAAATTCATTTCTAACTCTTGCATATTGCTCTAGTATTGCATATTTTGCTCTAGTAGCTTAGTATCTGCCCCATGAATAAAAGACTATATAAGGAAACAGAAATGTTTAGAGGCAGAGAAAAGAACAAACCAACATTAACTTTATAAACTATATGTTAAATGTATACTTTGCAATTTTTGAAAACTCTATTTCACTTTAATGGTAAGGAAATAGCATAAAAATACTGTTTTCTCCTCTCTGCTGCTTACTGCTAGAGTTAAGACAGGTGGGTAACAGAGTTATCCTCGTCAATACAAGTTCATTTTGAAGTTGTTACTTTGGAAGAAGATTAGAGGAAGGTGAAATGGAGGTGAGGTTGAAAGTAGTAAGAGTATTGGCATTCAAAACTTTTCAGTGCCCATTCTCTCATTCGTAGTCTGTAGTCTACGATAGAGTTGTATGAGGAGAAGCAGAATGAATGGTGACGATGGGCAATAAAATCACTGCTTCTGAGCCCTACTTGGATCAGATGAGGTCCTGTAGGGAATTCCAGTGGTATCTGGGCAAAGCAGTAATTTGTCTTAAAAACATTGATTTCATTCTTTTCATTTCCAGCTTCAGAGCCCAATTTGAAGGTACGCTCAAGGTTAAAACAAAAGGTAACAGAAAGGCGAAGCAGTCCTTTACTGAGGAGGAAGGATGGAAATGTTGTCAGCTCGTTCAAGAAGCGACTCTTTGAGGTGACAGGTAATGGAGAAGGGAGAAATTCTGTCTTCACTGCAACTACTTGCAGACATGAATAAAATGTTTCCTAAGATAGTATATTGGATTTTTTATTTACTATTTCTTTTTCTGCTGCTAAAAAGAAAACAATCTTAAAGAAATCGTTGTGCATGTGTAAATTGTAATTTCTACCACTTACTAAATAGTTATTGTCCATTTGAAAGCCATTATTTGCAATCTGTTTCAATGCTTTACAATAGTCAGTAGTAGAACAAATAAATGATAAATTATTGGTGGTATAAGTAATGAAATAAGCAAAGAAAAGTAGGGCTCACTAAGCTGTTCTTTTCAGCAGGAAAAGTTGAAATGTTTTAATAGTAGCATATACTTGACCACAGCTGATAGAATTCTTGGTAATTAAAGGGGAACTGCTAGCATGTAAAAATACAGCATTCTTAATATAAAGAGATTAAAGGGAAAAAATGCAAATAAAATTTTGTTTTCAAGTAGTTTTTCTTTCAGTATTATTTATGTCCTTGAACTAAAAAGAGTGAAAGGCTGAATGAGTAGTGGATTCTAAGACTTTCTTCCACCTGCTTGTCATTGTAGAGTTGTAACTTATGTATATTATTTTGTTGAATCACACCACAGCTCCCAAACAGTTTGAAATCCTCTCATTTCAGTGCTGAGGAGTAGCATGTTGCCCTGTTCTTTGATCTGAAAGAAAAGAACATTTACAGCATTCAATATTTCTTGCTTTGACTTTACATTTGTATTGAGTACCTTTGTTGCTTATTTAAGTAATATTACATATGTTTGTACAGTGAATAGTTAAACTGTCATACTTGTCTGAATTTATTTGGAATATCAGAATTATGTCACAACAAGATAGAAGTATAAAACAAATGCGTGAATTCATTCTGGTGTTCCCATCAATGCAATTCTCATGACAACTTTTAACAACTTATCAGGTGTAAAACCGAGACACATATTTGAATGTATCAAAGTAACTAAATAAGGTGATTTGTCTATAAATTCCGTGTCAGATTTTTTTTTTACAACTGATTTGAGGAGAGGAGAGGAGAGGAGAGGAGAGGAGAGGAGAGGAGAGGAGAGGAGAGGAGAGGAGAGGAGAGGAGAGGAGAGGAGAGGAGAGGAGAGGAGAGGAGAGGAGAGGAGAGGAGAGGAGAGGAGAGGAGAGGAGAGGAGAGGAGAGGAGAGGAGAGGATCTGGCAATAATTCTGAGCATTACAGATCACCATTTCAGTTATTAATATCTGTTAATATTCTGCAGCTTTATAACTGAAGCTTCCCTAATCTAACTTTCAGCTGAAGCCTTTTTTTTGCCTTTATTTTAAAATCTCTTTTAACTGAAAATGATTACTTACATAAAAGTGCTATTATAGTTATTCAAAAACAGAAGAAAAAAAAATGGTTTTGTAGTGCTCTATGAAAACTAGTGAGAAAATAATGCAGGAATCTTACCTGACCAGCTATTATAGCTGGGCACTGATTCACTTCAATAAATTGAAATCAGCTCTAACAGGAAACAACTGCCAAGAAATCTCCCCTTACCAATGGTCACAGTGAGGATGTATTTTTGGAAATGAACTGAGAAAGAGAGAAGTAACCATAGTGTATTTACTACCACATTTAGATACTTATTATTTCAACTTCTTGGAGATTTGCATTTGAAATGTATCCCATGAGACAGTCTTATCTGTGCTAATGCCACACTCTATCATCTTTAACCTCATTAGTTGTTACCGTGTGCAGAACTTTTGTTTATCTCAGTAAAGAATTATAATAACGCAATACAACAACACACAGCCCTTTCTATTAAACAGAACTAAGGACATTTTAAATCGATGTAACATACAGACTTTAAAATGCTGTTTTAAGGTGTTTGTATACTGCCAATATTCTTTTATATCTGTACTAGAGATACAGTGAAAATGGCGTATATTCTGTCATGTCATGGTACTTGCATGTGTAAAGCTTTGACTGCCATGGGCATGTCCAGCACTATTTCTGTAGTCAAAGAATGACAGTAGGCCTCATGAATTGATGACACATTATTGTGACCTTTGTAAGCCTTCTATCTCTGTCATTTTGATCTTTTACAGAGGCAGGATTCTATATAATTATAAAGAAAAGACTATCTTTTCTTTTTACTTTTTACAAATCATATCTCTACCTAATACTAATTATCGTACCATTTTTGTAAAAGTAATTAATTTAAATCACTCCTTGTGAAGCAGAGAGATCAGAAGGGAAAAGACCAAGAATATATTACATTAGCACTGTAAAAGGAAAAACAAAAGAAACTGAGAGTGAAATAGAAATCTGCAGTGTAAGTAAATAGCTCATTCATAAGCGGTAGATACTTTTCAACAGCCAAAAATCCCACCCTGTGCCATACAGTACATATAATTAATTGAAGTTCTATGTTGTCCTTCTGGTGCAAACCATGAATTCATGTATGCTTCTTCTATTTTTTAGAATCCTCAGTCAGTAGCAGCTCCCCTGGATCAGGTCCCAGTTCCCCAAGCAATGGTCCAACCAGCAGTATAACAGAAAGTGAAACCTCGGTTTTGCCATCTAGCATTCAAGCTGAGGTAAGACTCTTTCTTTTCCTTGAGTAGATAGTTGCTCAGACTTCTAGACTGGAAAGATTTGAAACTTCACTTTGCATATACCTACAAGCAGAATTATTGCAGCAGTTATAATTATTGGGGATATCAGGACACTGCATGCTGACAGCAGAGTATGTTATGAATGAGATGCACATTCTACAAAAGAGGCCAGCATATAAAGAGATTCTGGTTACTAAAGCAGCAGTGGCACTGCCACAGCAGTTGGAGGAAGCTGTGGAAGAAACTTGAAAGCATCTATGTTGAAGGACATTTGGAAATAAACTGGAGAGGAAGGACACAGAGAACTAATGAGACAAAAAAAAGTTAACATGGTATGAACAGTCACTGTGATGTCACAGTGTCACTACAGCTCTCTTACCAGATGATACAGAAAAGCAAAGCTTTACCTATATTTCAGGATCTCAAATTGCTGTGGGTGGGTAGAAATAGGGATCTGGCTTACCTTTCAGGATAATTTGAAGAAGTGCACAATGCTGAACACTAATGAAGAATTTCTGCAAGCAAAACAGCGACTTCATCATCAGTGACTAACATGTAGGAAATGAGGCATTCCCAGGTTCAGATGCTGTCAGAGTGCATTTGTTTGAGTACAGTGTCAGAGTTAGGTGACTAAGTCCTTTTTCACATCTGCCTTCTATTTCAGTGCATCTCAGTTTTCCTTATCTGTGTAGTGCTTACCAATATAACCAATGTGTGAGGAGCTTTTGATTCTTGTATTGTGAAGCTAAATTGTACATGAAAAGAATCTTAATTACTCATTATTCTGTTTCATTCAAACGTGCCTATAATGACAGGAACGCAGATGGTAAATCAGTTTTGATAAACTTCATTTACCACAGATATCATACATAAATCATGCTTTTCATGGTAATTTTGTAAAGGTACAAAAAATCAATGCAACTAAACAGATTGAAATTCAGAAATATTCTGTATCCAGTGCCTATATCTATAGCAATTTTTACTTTTGTAGCAAAATGTTCTAATTGTTTGTTTATACTGTTTATATTAGAAAAAAAAAATTGCATAAGAAAACGTGATTTAACAGAGTTTTAGCTAAGGGAGCTATTTCTTTAGGTCAGTGGCAGGACATTCACCTCAAAAAAACCTGGAATGGGCAGTTCAACCTCCAGCAGTGACTTTTCCCCATAATGAATTAATTGTGTGTGTGAACTATGATCCAGAGGGCAGGTGGGTGACCTCTGCACACTGATTAGTAGCCTCTCTCTGGCCCGTAACCAAAAAGAAAAAAAAAAAATTGCATTGATGGCTAACATGTGGTCTTGCCTCATAGCTCCTCTGTATGTGATTGCAAAAAAAAAATTTAAATGATGCAGAGCAAGATCCATCATTTGGATTAGATCAGATCCTAATTCAGTTGTATTAAATGATACATTTTTAGGAAATTTGTCATATATCGCTGTTAATGCTGTATTAAACAGGAAGTCATATTCAGTTGGATTTTGTCTTGACTTGAGGATACTACAAAATTCAAAGGGAATACTGATTCAGTGTTTGTTATGGTGCATATTTTAGTTTCTGGCCATTTGCCCACAGCATTGAACCAACATCAGAAAAGTATTCAGTCCAGTCAGACTGGCATTCTGTCTGGGGAGATTTGGAAAGACTATACCAAACTTTAGTTTCTGTTAATAGAACGTAGCAGTCACAATTGCTATGCCAGATATCCACTGTTTTAATTTTGTACAATTAAAAATTTTCAAATGAGACTAAAAAGTTCCCTTTAAATTTAATTTCTGTATGCTGGAGTCAGTCACTTAGCTTGCTGAGTGTGGGCTAAGAAGCTGAAACTACTGACTTCCATTTCTGGGTATAGTCAGAGATTTCATTACCTCTCTGGTTACTTGACTGTTAATACTGTGGTCCTGTGGGCTCAAAATTTTTCCATAAATCTCAACTTCAGTGCATTTTGATTTCAGTGGGATTTTCTTTGGTAGTTTAACAGCAACCAAATTGCTACATATCTCTTTGCTAGTTTAGCACTAGCTGCCAACTCTCAAAGGCTATGTATCTAATCAATTTTTCATCAGATACACAAAGTACTGAAGTTTCTAATAACAGGCTATGCGTTCCAGAATCACCCAAAGTATCACTTGTTTTGCTGTAATCCTGAATGACTCACGTTGCTGTTGTTTCATAATAATCGGTCTGACATTTGCAGTAAGTGTTGTACTCGTATCTGAGTGGGTGGATAGCTGTGGTTTTCGTGGCAGCAAATAAAACTTTTTGCTGAGGAAAACCAGGTTGCTATGACGAAGCCATTTACCAGTAAAGCATGAGTCAATACCATAAATGATTACACTCCAGCACATAGACAAAATTAGAGCATTATCAGTAATGAAACAAATTTTTGAAGTAGTTTTGCCATACCCATTTGAATAATTAGACTTCTATGTGGTTTACCCTCTGGAGTACAGTCTGTTGGGCAGACATTTATATATTTTTGAATGTACAAAGGTGCACTGCGTTTGATGCACTTAGGCGGATAATATTTTGCTATCACAGTTCCCCTAATGGTACTTTCAGTAACATTTGTTAAAACATTGGTTTCATTATGTGAAACTTAAAAGTTAAACTCAAGATCTTAATTGCACCTTATAAATAAAGTGGTTTTTTGTATTAGGCCCAGGTTTCTCCAGCAGTATCAAGGTTCACCGCAGTAGCTGTTTGACTCTTGTGGTGTGTCATATGTTTTCAGGTCACCTGCTGTGCTTGTGCTAAATCTTACTTGCATGAGAGGTGCAGGCAGAACTGATCCCTGCACAGCATGTCCCTTGAGTTCAGAGAGACAATTTGCCATAGTCACGTGAACTAATTCATTTTAAGAATGCACAGCCTGGTCAAAAGCCAATGAAGGTAATGGGGAGTTTCTACTTGAAGTCACTGAACTTCTGGTCATTTTATTTCTCTTTCATTTGCTATTTGGAGAGCAAAATTGCCTAGAATATCACCTTACACACGAGACATGAATGACATGTATGGCAGATATACACATATTTGAGCTTATAAACAAGACTGAGACTGAGTTTTTACATGGTTTAAAAATAAAAGAGAGAAGAGTTAGTCTAGATGTTAGGAAGAATTTCTTTAATCAGAAGGGGGTAAAGCGCTGACACAGGCTACCCAAAGAAGTTGTGGGTGTCCCCTCCCTGGAGGCATTCAAGGCCAGATTTGATGTGGCCCTGGGCAAACTGATCTTATGAGTGGCAACCCTACTCCTAGCAGAAGATTGGAACTGGATGATCTTTAAGGCCCATCCAACCCGAGCCATTCTGTGATTCTATGATTATATCTCAACAAGTTGCAAGTATTTAAAGCCAAACCATTTCCTCTTCCCCTTCTAATGTATAAATGGGCATATAAAGTAGGTGTTCCCACTTCTCAACAGACCCTGGCAACAAAATAGAGCACGATAACTAAATGTAGGTGATAACTTATTAACTAATCCTGGTGATAACTATTCGCTGTTACATTTAGTTATCGTACTTCTATTTCAAGAAAGAGCGTAACTGTGTTGGAAGGCTATTTTAGGCACATCAGGAAACAGAATCCATAGATTCAGTGAGTAAGTATACGGAGGAGCGATAAAGTAGTTGCTCTTTGGCATAATTTAGATTTCAATCCAACCCCTTAAGGACCATGACTTATCGGTTGTGCTGCCTCCTTTAACAGTCATGCGTGATCTTAATGTGGGAATACATTTTGCTGTTATAAACCCTGTCATGGTTACATTTGTTACTTCAAATCATAAGGAAGTAATAGCGACATTCTGAAAACCAAAAAGGAAACGCATTTTTGCAATGGCTCTGCATAAATACTGCAGTGGATGAATAGAAATTTGACATTAGAGTTGCTACAGCATCCATTTGCAGTCAAATCTTCATAGTCTTCCTCAGTTCTATCTCCATTGTCTTGATTTATTTGGCTTTAATCAGAGTCAAAGGTGGATCTTATCAAGGCAAGACACTGTTAGCTAAGAATTAATGTAACACACAAGTGAAACTTCTTTATTTCGTATGCTATCTGTTGACATTCCCTAGGTACCAAAAGAAAATTACAGAGATAGACTTTTCTGTTTTTGTCTCAGTGATAGGTCATATCTCCAAACAAACTGTATGAGGAAGGTTATGTTTTGCAATAACATCCTGTGTTTTTGTGCTTAACCACTTTTCATTGATGGTCTGTAGTTGCATTGTATTAGCACAAAGTATTTTACAGAGTTAATTGATATTCCAGGTTTGTCCAGGGGAAAATCTACAGCTCCCCACAACATGCTTGACAAGTTATTATATTTACTTTAGTCAAAGCCCGAGTGTGCAGTATCCCTCTTGGAGGTGGTCTATTATTGGAGTCCCATATGCTTTTTGTTTGGGAAGAAAGCAGTCACTGTGTCATACTGTTACACGGGGTATTCTTTTTCAAGGATGTTGTTCCCTTGGGGACCATATCATGCCAGAGTTCCTAAGTCTAATAAGACCTTTGTAGGTCTCATTGTGTTAAAGTTCTGGGAGGGAAGCAAGAGTTAAAGAGAAAATGTAAGTCAAGCAACTATCCTAGACCACATGTTGAAAAACATGACTGTTAAAGCAGAAACACAAGGGCATTAAAAATATTCCTATTGCAGTAATGTAACTTTTTATATTTCTTCCCAATGAATCTAAAATGGAAAGATGGAGGGTGATCTTTGGAGTATGCCTGATTTTACTTGACATTAGCTATATCAGCAATTCCATGTCCCTTGAAATTATATCACGAGGATTTGAAACAAGTGTTAAATTTAAAGGAATTACGAAAGTTGTGAGGGGGTATTCCACCATCAGAGAATGATGGGATTCTATTCTTTGTGTTCACGCAGAGATAGACAAGGTATATTTTTTTAAGAGCTAATGTGCCTTTCTTTCTACCCCTAATTCCCATGTCAATGGAAATTAATAATGTGCTTGAAATGTCTTCTTTTACAATATGGGTAAATAATGCACAGTCCAGGTAGGAGCCATTTTTCGTATTTTACATCAACAATGTTATTAACTATGGTAGAGGTCTAATACATCTGTATTCATGACACTTTTGATTTGTCTAGATGTAATCCATAATTCATTGGCTAAAATCCCAATGATCTTTTAAGTAGTAAAAGTGCAGTTGCTGAGAGAAGAGATGAACTAGGAATCCTCAAGCATTTGGATTTGAGTAGAAATTTGTCTTATTAGCCAATGCATTAGCTTAGATGCATTTCAGATGTTTTCTTAAGAAAGAAAATATCAATACTTTCTTTACAAGGACAGTACCTATTATCTTCAACCTCCTTGTGATGCAAGTCAATCCACAGCGCATAACTGGCTTTAAATATAGCAGCATAATAGGCATGAAGTTGCCAAGATTAAAAAAGAGCTTGGAGGTTATATGTATATTGTTTTTCCTCTTTATTTCAGCATCTGGTTTCACAGCAACGCCTTTTGATACAGGATGAATCAGTGAACTTGTTGAGTCTGTACACGTCCCCTTCTTTGCCCAACATTACCTTGGGACTTCCAGCTGTACAATCTCAAATCAGTGTAAGTGATCAATCTTAAGCCTTTCTACTTTTTCTCCTACCTTTATTTTGCTCCTACTTTTTTCCCCCCCCCTACTTTTTCTTCCTACTTTTTCTCTGAGAAAACCTGCTTTCTGCCTTTTCTCCTTTTTGGAGCATAAGCAACCAGAGTAGGTGCCAGACCTTTCTTTGCACTGGGCAGTATCTAAAATTTTAGAGGAACAATTTGAAAGCAATTCTTATTCTTAATCTGAAATAAGAGCTGATGTGAAGTTTAGCTAAGTATGGGCCATATGTATTGCAGTTATATCTGTAAGAATGATAACAAACTTCAGATATGATAAAAAGTTCTTGAAGGAGACCATTGAGCATAAAAGTTCAAATTGTATAATCCCTCCTACCTGGTAAAGCACAGCACCTGTAACATTCTATAATGAGATGCCAGTGGAAATCTAAGCTGGGCTGAAGCATAGCAGAGGAAGAATCCAGCATTCCTGCAGCTAAGTTTGTTTTTCTTTGGGGGGCTTAATCATATAAATCAAATTTGTAGATACTTAAGCAACATTTAATGACTAGTCACATTCATATATCCTTTGTTCAATCTGCAGCAATCAAGTCTATTTAGAGCTAAGTGTTAAATTAGGGTGTGAAATGTATGAGAAAAGAGATAAAAAGTATTGAAATCATGTTGATGGATGTTGAAGGATCATTAGATTAGCCAAATTTACAGTAATCTAGAAGTAAAAAAAAAAAAAAAAAAAAAAAAAAGTACTGAGGCTCAGTAAAAGAACTTTTAATTTTTATCCTGGTCAAAACTTAGCCCCCTTGATTTCCTGCAAAAATCATCATCATAATATGTTATTTCTATACACCACTGTATATATTTTGAAGAAATTTTAGTAATTCATATTCTACAGAAAATGAATTGGTAACTTCTATAAAAATTCTAGATTTCCAGTGTGTAAAAAAATATATGTATCTAAACAGTCTACTATGGTTTGTAATAAGTACTGCACAATTCCAGTGCTTAATGTAGTTTCAGGTTAAAGTTTCTTGCCATTTAATGGCTTTTTTTAACCAATGTTGGTTAAAAAACCTTAACCAATAGCATATTGCTGCAGTGCAGCATTTAAAATCAGACATAGAACTTTGAAAGGAAAATTCTGTAGGCTTTAAATCATTTCTCTAGAAGTCTTTCATGAGATATTTATAAGCAAATTATTGCTTTTAAGGGATGGAAAAATTGAATTGATCATGAAAAGTAGTAGTTACTTTTCCAGATCATGTTGTCAAAAATTTCATAGCTATTTCACAAACAATAAAGTAAAAATAAAATCTAACTTCAAAGTGATTTTAGAACATTAAAAAAGGAAATGAAAATATATTTAATTTTCTCACTCAAGTGATGTGAGCTTTTTGATATAGTCAACTGGCCCCAAATATTACTTTTGGCACTTGAAAAAACAAAAGGGTTGATTTATGCAAATACTGTCTTTTTCTCTTAGCAGAAGAAGTAGTTGCAAACTGGATGTAAAGTTTACTTTGGTGTTTATTCTTCAGGGAAAGGTGATGGCAGAGTATAAAATAAGCATAAAGTAAGCCCCCAAAAGTTAGTTGCTTAGTTTCTTAGCTGCTCTTTCTTGCAGTGCTTGTTCCTCCTCCCTTTTCATCTCACAGTCAAAGTGCAAGAGAAAGATTTTAACTTTTTCTTCTGTATTCAGAAAGCATATATAAGACCATCTAATCAAGTGGAGATAACAGTGGCCAAGACAGTGAAAAGCAGTTACCAGTGTCATTGTGTCTTGACAGGCTTCATCATCATTCAAAGAAAAGCAGAAGGGAGAGACCCAGACACTCAGACCAGGAGTGGCCTTGGCTGGACAGTATGGGGGGAATATTCCCCCCTCTTCAACTCATCCTCATGTTGCTTTGGAGGGAAAACCAAACAGCAGCCACCAGGCTCTCTTGCAACATCTGTTACTGAAAGAACAGATGAGACAACAGAAACTTCTTGTAACTGGTAATGATTAAAGTTTCAACACAATAATCATTTTAGATGTTTTTAATGACATTTCTATTCTAGATGTTATAAAAAGAGGAAGGGTGGGGGAAAAGAAAGGATAGCATGTTTGTTTTCCCACTTCAGTGATTCTGCTCCATTAGCCTCAAAGGATTCCGTGATTACAGTAAAGAGAAAATGATTACTTCATCACATTCTTTTGCAGCTGCTGAACTTCCTAGCATGGCTAGGCGTATAGTACACTTCCCACTGCATCAGCATTGATGCAAAGTTCTGCAGCATACACCCCTCTTCTTACTCTTCTATTAGAACTAGTAGTTTATTTTTCTTCACACTGGAGTGAAATGTCATGGTTTTGCAGGAGCGGTTCCTCTTCATCCCCAGTCTCCTTTGGCAGCAAAAGAAAGAGTCTCACCTGGCATAAGGGCTGCCCACAAACTGCCTCGCCACAGGCCTCTGAATCGAACCCAGTCAGCTCCTCTTCCTCAGAGCACTTTGGCGCAGCTGGTCATCCAACAGCAACATCAACAGTTTTTGGAGAAGCAGAAACAGTACCAGCAACAGATCCACATGAATAAGGTGAGGTCCCAAAGAAAGTAATTTTTAATGAATATACATGTTGAAAAATAATAGTGAAGTGTAGATGCTGGGGTCATGTGGTAGATGAGAATAAACAAGCTCTTGCATGAGTACCTTGCTTATGCATACTGTGTACACATGTGCATAGGTCTTCAATTTTCATTTTTCTGAAATGTGGTACAAGATTTTTTTATGCCTGCTAGCGTCAATAAAAATACAATTCAATGAAATAGGGATCAAAGAATCTTTTAGGTTTAGACTGCAAATGCTTTCCTGCTGACTGTCGAATGATGTCTTACAGATACTGTATTTCTGCTATCCAACTTTTTTTTTTTTAATTTGCCATTTCCACTTTCAGAGATCATTCAATTCAGCTGCTGAATCATAGTTTAGGTTTATTCACAATGGAATTTTGTGTGGAGTAAATACATGATTCATTTGAAGTAAATCAAGTGATCAAATTTATCTTGTTTTTATTAAAAATGTATTGATCATCTGAAGAAATTTTAACCAGCTTTTATCAAATCAACTTCCTGTAAATTTAGCAGTAATGCAGAAGCTTGTTATCTATATCGCAATATAAAAATACCAGTGATAGAGAAAGAGAAGGATTTGCTATGGCTCATATCAGATACAGAGTTGAACTATGCCTGTTTCCCTGTAGAGTAACACATTTTTCTGAGTGAAAGAAAGAAAAAAATGACCAGCCACCATTAAACAAAGTACAGCAGTATCTAGATAGGCTTCTCTGGGGCAAATGTTTCTCCAGGAGATGTGATACCATTCCCTGCTCTAAAATGAAGATATGCAAGTAATTAAATACTTTTATCTGAAAAACCTTTTTCTTCTCTTACTACATAATCTGCCCAAAAATGTTTCCTCGAGCTTTTTGACTAAATCAGTGTTGTAGTAATCATAAATCTTTACTTTTCTTGTTTTTCTTGAGAGTTATTTAGAAAATATACAAAAGAACTAATTGCAAAGGAGAAAAGATGAAAAGCAGGACATTCAATCTTTATACCTATGAGAAAGTAAGAAAAAAAATCAATCCACCTTACAGGGTGAACTTCCCAGGGGGTACTGATTCTTTGGAATCTACTAAGAATTCCCAACAAAATTAGAAACAAACCTAGAGTTTAAGTACATAGTTTGTACAGTGGTTTGGTTATTAAATCTTGCCTTAATTAGGAAAAATGAAGACCAGAAAACTTCAAAGTTCAGTGCTGATCCTTGCATGTTAACCCCTCTCAGCTTGGGTGTTTTGATTACTCAACTAGGACTCCAGTTGGCTTTTCTTTGAGTATGCATTCCATATGTTTAATCAAGATGGCATATGTATATCTTGTAGCCTCAGGTTTTGAAAATATTTCACCTGCCCTCAGTTGTCTGAAAAGGATTTTTACCAGTGAAGTACTGGGTATTCACTGCAATCTAGTCAGTTACTGGTCGTGCATTCTTCACAAAGCAAAGAACACAGTGACATGTTTTTATCAGGTCATATGCTTACTGATGTACTTTCTACCATAGCATTTGGGGGTACATGCTGTGGCATCTAGATATATTTGTCTTGAAAGTGAAAATTAAACTTGAGTCATGTATATATATTAGTCACATATGACTAGAACTGCATTCATTGCACCTCACCAGATTTAGGCTGGAAAAGAACTAAAAAAGAGTTCAATTGGCATGAGATAATGCTGCTTTAGTAACTCTTTTTTTTCCCCGTGTTAAACTGCAGTGAAAATAAATGTTGAGAACAAAACACACTAGAAATATGCTTCCATTCTCATGTGGTTATTTGCAGTAAAGAGACAATACGATTCCTTCCCTTAAAGCCTAGTAAACCTAATTTTTATTGTCTACACTGTAGACTATATACTTATGTAGATACTAGAAATTTATCCCAGGGCCTTTCACTGCCTTGAAATATCACAGCATACTTCCTTCTTCCAGCTAGCTCAATTTCCTCTATCTCTACTCCCAGAGCAAATAGCTTTCATCAGGACCACAGTCTCTCATCAGAGCAGCAGACACCTGAGGAGGAGTAGGATCATGCTGCACCTACAGAAGCAGTGAATTATGTGAGGATGTGGGTAGTTTATCAGACTTTTTATGGTCTGCAGTAACAAGGTTCTTCTACTATACTGTTCCCTGATCCAATCTGCTGTGTAGTCCTAAAATGGACCGTGCTCCAATCACACGTCTGTTCTCTGCAAGAATACAGAAAGCCAATTGCTTTCTTACTTACCTAAAATAAATGTGATTTTCTAAAAACTGGCATTTAAGGTAGTCAGAGAAGTGGTGAGAAATGATCAAATCAGGAAGTGGCTATTAAGTACTGAATTTAAAATTATATTCTTTAAGTCTTCAAATTAAAGGTTTAGATTGAGCACCTGTGCTTGCATAATGTTTTTGAACTCCTGCAGCAAGATAGACTGTACTTTGTTCATTGTTGAACCTTGCCTTTATTTGCAGTTGGTGTTATTTATTCATTACCCAACCTAACACATTTCTAGAGCTCTTAAAATCAAACCTGAACTCTGCAAAGCAGAGTTCTCTGATTCTTAGAATGAGATATTCTAGGCCATGTAGCAAAGCAACTCATTTCTTATAACAAGTTTGAGCATGTATTGAGTGAATACATATATTTATTTTCCACTTCTCTATCCCTCACTATTCTGTACATAGGCCCTACATTGAAAACTCATAGAGGTATATATTCCCTGCTTACAGTCTTGAAAAAATATTTTGTTTAATGAGGAGTACTCAGACATTTTTTTTAAATGTTTGATTAGAAATACAAGGACCATTTTTAGCTGATAAGACTATGAAATGCAAGTTGATCAAGAGCTTAGAACAAGTTAAGACATTCTATTCATTTTCTATTTCTTTTTCCTTTTCTCCTTGTGTTTAGGACTTCGAATGCTTAAGGAGTTAATATATATTTAATCTGAATCTGTTATTTAAGTTATTTCTCTGAGCTGAGATGATGTGGCATGTGTCAGCAATCCTTGAAAAATGGATTTGGTCAGATCTTAGGTAACAACAAAAAGAGGACAAGTGCAACAGTCTCTCCCCACCCTATCAATCTTCTATTTATCTTCTATGTATCAGTGATTTCTTTCATACAAGCTCATATACTTCAACTGCAAGTCAGTGCTGCTGTAAGGGTATAACAGGCAAAATCTAACACAGGTCAGGGGTAAAGGATCCCCCTGGATCATTTCCATTCTGAATAGAAACAAATCATTGCCAAGAGGTGTGCCTCTGTCCTTAATAACAAAGAGAAGATCCCCTATGGATTATTTCTGTTCAGCTGTCAGATGCCAGGCTTTTGATGTTGGAAATGGAATACCTGCGGGATCTAGTATGCTGACCTCCTAAAAACATGTTGCATAAGTTGACATCATGTCCAAAAGGAGGTAGAAACTTGCATCCCAGCTTTCTGGGGAAAAAAAAAATGAAAATGAATGTGCAGTAAGCTGAACTCTGCTTGTCTCAGGAGAGCTTGACTTTGCCATTGTCAGCTTTAATATGCTTCTATCCAACTTGCAGCTTATTTCCTTGTAAGGCCCTTTGATCACCATTATAGAACTTCATTCTGCTCAGTAACGGGAGACCAAAGTCTGAAACCTCTAGCTAAAATTATTGCAATCAGGTACCAAAAGACTGCTGCTACGATAAAAATCCTGAAATCTTGATTCCATTTGTGTATCTCTTTATCTAAAAAGTTTTTGTGCTTCCACTTGCTGGAAAAAAGAAAAAAAATGTGATTTTGAGGTAATGAATGTAAGTGCGAAGTCCACAGGTGAACTCTTGAGTTTAAGAAAATCTCAGAAGTTGTAATGTAAGCAGCACGTAAACAGAAACCTCAGACTTCAAATGCTGCTTTTTTTGTGTGGTTTCTTTTCTTTTTTGTTCTCTATGTGTGATGAATAAAATCATTCCTCTGCTGAACCTAAACTTGCACCATCTTCATTGGGACCAACATTTCATTTGGTCAGTATGGGAACCCTACAAATGTTCTGAAAGTATTGTGTTTTTGTGCCATTTGCAGTGTGCGTTAAAGTACAGAAACAGTATTGACAACATTAAATATTAAATGAGAAGTGCCTTAACATTCCAGGCTGTTAGTCAACTTAAAGATCTTTCACCGGGCAAGACTGCGAGGTAAAAATTATATGACAAAAAATGTATAGGAGTGAATGTTCATTAGTGCTACAGAAGATTATCAAAATTGACCAATGTGTATTAATATAAAAATGAAAAATAATGTGGGTTATTTCTATTGATTAATTGTTGCAAAATACTAGGAAAATTATTTGTTAGGAATATTGAAAAGAGCAGTTAACCAAAGGTTCATCATTCACTCTTCTGATATTTAATGAAATAAGAAAGACTGTTTTGATCAAGTTCAACTTAAGTAAATGAACCTAGTTTCATTAATCATACTGTAATTGAGGTCTGGCTTTCCAGCTTACCTTTTTGACTTCCATCCTCAGAAGATGAGAGCAGAAACACATCGCTTCTTTTAAGTATTACTTGTAGTAGGGGATTATATGGACAAGGCTACAGCAGTGATTAAACATGTTTGTAACTGAAAACTGCTCAGAGCATTTTGTCCTTTAATAAGAACTAATGTTTAAGCCATAATGTAGAAGAAAGATCTTGAAAGCTAAATGCATCCCTTAGAAGTGTACTACATGAGTAATGAGAAAACAGTAAGCAGTTTCCAAGTTATTTCAGCACAGCTAACAACTTACATAGCTGGTCAGGGTAACCTGAGAGCCGTGGCACAGAAAGAGAAAAAATGTTTCCATAAGCATGCAAATGAGTTCCTAGAAACAACAGCCATGTGTTTCGGAAAGGATCAGTTAATTAAGGAAAGAAATGTATGTGGTGGCTGCAGCAGGGTTTTGTGCTTTGTCTCTTTGTAAGTACATTTTATTTTAAATCAATTTTACAAGAGCTTGTTATTACAAAAGAGACACAATGACAGTGGCTGCAACTGGAGGCCCTATAAAGTGGTCTGTTTCAGGGTCCAGATTATTTGTGCTTCATCATCCGTTTTCCTGTACAGCCAAGCAGGTTTGATTGTTTTTGGACTTTGTGTTTGTCTGACTCTTGCAGTTATACAATGGAGTTGATGTGTATAAATGCTTCATCTCCTGCTGCCGCTATTTACTTTGGCTCATGCCAATCCTTACAGTTTAATTTCCTGAAAATAAAAGGGAAAAAAATATAGATTACATTAGCATGTAAGCCTTTTTTTTTTAAGTAACTTTAGTTGGAATAGCAATAGCTGGAATGTATATTGGTTTAAGAAGACCAATCTGTACAACTAATTTATTCATGAAGTAAACCACTCCTTTGTTATTTTTTTCAAATGTAGCTTTACTAAAAATCAGATTAAGCAATCACATTCTCAAAATGATAAATGTGCATTAAAAACAGGAGAAATTCCTTCACTGTATCTGCAGATAAATTCAGAAAAAACAGTGGTAAGTGGAGATTTAAAGTGAAAGATTTAAATGTTAAGTGTAAGCAGAAGTATCCAGCTGCACTGTGAAAGGACTTGGGCAGTGCTTCATTCAGGGTTTTTTTTCTGCTGAGTAATCCAGCTTTAGATAAAGAAGGTAAGATAGAAATATTGACTGTAATCTGCTATCTTTGTGTGTCTCCAGATATGTAATTTTCTGCAGTAGGGCCAGGAGATAAAAGTATAAAAAAAAAGATGCTGCTGTCTTAGGAGAATTGAACAGTGTCCATTACTAATGTAATTACTGGAATAAAACAGGGCAAGCTGCCTTTAAGAACCACACTAGCAAGTACCAAGGTGTGGTGGTGTTATGGAGATACAGTGATATGGGCTTGCTGTAGCTTAGCAGACTGAGTAGCAGGAGTGCTTTTTCAGGTTTTCAGGTTTTCATTGTTGTTATGCTCTGCCCTATGAGAGGACAACTCTAGTGCCTCCTAGCCCCTTGCCTGAGGCTTGCTTTCATTCTCATTTCCACCATTAAGTCACAATATAAAGGATACCCTTCATAAGATTTTGCATGAAAGCTGTTAGTATTTATGCACTTTGTAAAATCTCTTGTGAAAATAAACACTTTAATCTCATAGAATTTTAGAAGATTTAATGTGTTTAGCTCTTCCTGTCATCAGTCTGGAGCAAATCTCCTACTGATTTCCATGGTGAGGGAGTAGGCCCCAAAACAGGCACACTGCAAGCTGAAATGCATGCAAAAACCACGCTGGTCTCACAGCCCCTTAACATATGCTTGTATCTCCCCACTGATTTCACTCAAGAGGAATTTAAAGCATTCTATGTATAGATTATATACTGTAGGACATCACATGTTGCATCAGAAAGCTCAGTGGTACTGAAGTTCTGTGCATATAGCAGCAAGAAGAAGAAAGCATCTGACATTAAAGTGAAAAAGCATAAAAGGGCAGCAGCAATGAGTTGAATATGTGTCTTTTCTGTGGACCTGCACTCCTTTTCTAGAATAGTGCACCTGATGTCAAGTACCTGGTACATGGAATGTTTTACAGATGGATCAGCATTAGTGACTCTTGTGGCTGTATATGATTATCTGTCACACAGATGTTTTAGTTGTATTTGATCGCTGGCCAGGCAGCCAGGCAGCCAGGCTTTCCTTCTTCTTCATGCCAGAGGAGTGGAGAGGGATCACCCACAGATGTTACAGAATAGTGTACCTGGTCTGAATACATGTAGCTCACTTCAGAGCCTTCCTGGTCAGTATCATCCCCCAAGAAACAACTGAGTCTGATCTGAGAAATTTTCCAGATTCTCCTTATTAAAAGGAGATGCTCTGCACTGGTTGCAGTATTGAAGTTTCCTCAGCTTAGTGCATACCACCTGCAGAATGAGGGATGCATATGTTGTGATTCTGCAGTGTCCACAGCAATTAAAAGGAATTTTTACTTAATTCTTTTTAGTAAGTCATTTTGTTCCCATTACCCCTAAAAAAAAATCCATATGCAAAATCTTCAGTAAGAAAGCATAAACTAGGTTTGATTGCAGCACCCAGGCATCTGGTACCTCAGCAAAGCTTTACAATGGTTAATGGTGTAAAACCAGCATTTTCTGAGTAATTGTACTATATCATTACTGCTGAGACAAAAGAACCTGTACCATGCATGACAAGGGCTGCAGTCTTTCAATCAGGGCCAGACATCTTTGCAGTCTCTGCGCCAGGGAGCAGTGACTGCTCCTCTGTGTCTATTGGGGCCTGCATACAGTAATTAGTGGATAAGCTTGTAGGAACTTTCCCTGATTTACTTATAGCAAAATATTAACCAGATTACTAATTCACTTATTTCTTAGAGCTCCTTTATTATTTTGGGTTGGGAAAAATGAACAGTAATATAGTTAAATAAATTTCTCCATTTTTGTTTGAAGAGTATGAAGGGAAGCTAATTGCTTTTGATTACCAGTAGCAACAATGTAATAGATGTGTTACAATGCTTTCATTATTCTACCCAATTTTTACTTAAGTATTACCATATAGCACTCATTACAAATACAGTGTTTTCTATTGCAGCATAACAAGTGACCTTTAACTTAGGAATTTCGGTTCTTTTTTTCTTCATAAACTAATATTTTAGTGATGCAGAGCTTGCAGTAGAAGCTGTAATTTTGTTGGTGTCTAGTACTTCCCAGTGTTCTACATTGGTGAAAGCAGTCAGTAACTATTCCCCCTCCATCTCTTTCCAGATGCTCTCCAAATCCATTGAGCAGCTAAAGCAGCCTGGCAGCCACCTGGAGGAAGCTGAAGAAGAGCTGAATGGAGACCACTCAATGCAGGAGGAGCGAGCTCCCGCTAGTGGGGCCAGCATTAGGGCTGAGAGCAGCAGTGCTGGTGAGGATGACAGAATAGGACAGCAGGCGGGGGCTGTGAAGGTCAAAGAGGAGCCACCGGACAGTGATGAGGATACTCAAACCCAGCAAATGGAATCTGGGGAGCAAGCTGCTTTTGTGCAACAGGTAATAGGCAAAGATTTAGCTCCAGGATTTGTAATTAAGGTTATTATCTGAACATCACATGCATTTTCTAGGCTTTGACGAGCAGTTGTGTTTTGATTCACTAGCAAATCCTGATTTACTATTCAAAGAATTTAACAAAAGCAAAGGTGTCGTATGCACACTTCAAAACATAGTGGAGCTCATCCTTATGGCCCTAATGAAGCAAATACCCGTTGCAGACAATTGCTATACATAAAACTTTGCGTATTAGATGATAGAATTTGTATTAGGCCAGGATTATATTACATCGCTTAGTTCTAGTGCAAGACAGCTCCTATCACCTAGCTTGTTGAGATCAGCTACTGCTGGACTTAGTTTCCAGATCTGATTGATGAAACATTCTTCTCTGATTTTGAATCCTCTGACTTTTGCTTTCAGCTATCTGTATATAATGTATCATACCGTAGTCTTGAACACTGTTAACAAACGATAGGGTAATTTTCCCCCATAGACAGGTACTGACTGCTACATCAGTGGTCCTAGGTTGGAGTACAAAGTTAAAGAAATATACCAGGTGGATGTAAACATGCAAGGCAAGGCGCTGATTGAAAATTGCATTGTTTTCATTTTTGCACTGCTTAATTCATTTTTCATTCTGTCTTATTTGATGACACTGTCCACAAAGACACCCTTAAATTAAGCAGATGCAAATACTGGCAAGAAGGAAAATGCAGCATTAGGTTCCAATCAGATATTACAGTATTGAAGGAAAAGCACAGAAGTGTTATCGTTATTATCTGATATCCAAACACTTGCTTATTGTTTTAAAGAAAGACTAATCATACAATATTGCATAACCTTTACCACTAGGTCTCATGGACAAAGCTTAAAATAAGGACAGTGTAAATAATGCCAACTTGGCAAAAGGAAACTTCAAATTGTCTGACAGTGTTTTGCGAATGCTGCAGAATGAAGTGCATTTGTGCAGCCTGTGCTTTCAGAGAGCTGCTGTCCCTTTTGTTGCTCCAAAATCAGACAGAGCAATGCAGGATGCAATGGCAGGCACTGTTTATTTAAGTCAAGACTTTGTCAGGTCCCTGCTGTTCTCCTCGAGAAAAGTGATTCTGAGAGGGGGAGCAGGAAATGCCTTATGGAAACAGGAAGCCCAAGTGATTCATGTGCTGAGGAATGTAAGGCAGGGGGAACGGGGTAGTGTTCTCTCTGTTTTTAAAGGCACTCTATGAATTGATTTATTGTCAAAGAAAATAACAAAGCGAGCAGGGAAATTGTTAAGGAAGCTTTCCAGTGAAACATTTCCTTCATATTCCCTTTTGATATGTTTACCTTGTTTTATAGGTTTACTTTTGTTAAGCTAGTTAAAGATTCATTGTATTAAGATCCCCTTTAATATGGATAATCCCAAACTGACCTGGAATCCTTGTCAGTTTTTTTTCTATTAAAAAATATTTATATTTCTAAAGCTAAGGTATTTTAAAGTGCAGTATCCTGTTTCAAAAGAGATAGATGTTTTGCCAAATGTAGAAATTGTTCTGACATGTTATTAGCATATGTTGTTTACATGATGCTCTAATACTATTGAAGCTCTTATAAAATGTTGCGACCTATAAAGATACATTATCCTTTTTCCTAAAAGATCTCAAATCAACAACTAAGTAGTTGCTGTATAGCGAAAGGCCTCCTGCAACTTAATGATGAACTTAGATAGGAAACACGCATTAATTGACAAAATGTAGACAACTTTTATGTGTGCTTTATATTGGTCTTGGATGAAAAAATCACTTTGCATTCACAATGAAAAGCATATAAAACTGAAATTGCATATTTTTCCCATTCTATATAACTGTACTTTTCCTTGAAGCCTAACTTCAGCCTCATCAAAAGGGATAGTGCATCTTTTTAAAATACATTTTATTTGGGGAGAAACTTGCAAATGAGAAGACTTTTGTACAATATCATTTCCAAAACAGTGTATTCACAAAGCACAGAAGATATTTTTATAATGTTCTGCAGGTGAGAAACCCCAATAGATTAGTAGACTTTCACTTCAGAATCTCTCAAACTTGGAAAAAAATGAAATAGAGAAATTACCTGGAACCAGTGAAAAGGAAAACTGGGTTTAAAAAAATCCCACATTTCTAATTGACAATTGTCTCCTACATTTTAAATCTACTGTATTTATTAGAATTTACACCCTCAGAGGTGATCTCTTGTTTTGTGTTGTAAATATATTGTTTGTATGTTCCCTTTTTTTGCCTTCTGATATAAGTCTCTTCCTTTCTCAAATAAAGTTTTTTTTTTTAAAAGATCCCCTTTCAGATATCTGACTTTGTGTAAAGTTGATACCTCAATTGTGCTTTTGCTTTGTATAATCAAATATGTTTGCTACACATTGTTGAAACAATTAAAGCTTTCAGGAGCAAGGTTTTTATTAGACTATTCTTACAATGATTACACAAAGTCTTCCTTTTAGTCTCTCATTTTATCCTATATCAGCCATTATAAGTTCTAGTGAATGTGAAAATAGTATTGATGCATGCTCATTTTCCCATCACAGCATTTGTCTTGAACATGTCTTCACAGTGTCATGTTAAAAAGGTAAAGGTAAATCCCATTTTATTTGCTCCTAAATTATAAAAAATATCCCAAATGTGGATGAATGGAAATAACTTCTTAGAACACAAAAAGTATTGAACCTGAGCATATACTGACCTTTTTGACACTCCTCAAGAACTTTGCAAAAGTAGAATCCGTCTGTAAATATATTTGGAAGGAGGGAATCTGTAGACTTCACAGACTTTAAAGCAATTGAGGGAGAAAATGAAGTCCTACTGTGAAGAAACACCTATGCACTTCCTTAAAGATGTTCAGTGCTTCACTGGTTAGTGATATTTCCCCAAATTTGCTTCAGATCTGCAGAAAGAAACAGTCTGTACTACATAACTGTCTCTGTTGCTAAAATACCTGCATTATTACTACCAAAACAGTTCAGAAAATTGTTGCTATCAAACTCCTTTCACTGTCCATTTCAATAGCAAAAGATTTTAGCTGCTTTGATTGATAGAATTTTAAATAAAATACAATTATTTAACAACATAAGTTTATAAGAGTAAATATTTTGTAAATCAAAAGTTGTTATTTTTAGTGATATAACAGCAAAGTAATGTTTTGCCAGTAATACACACATAGACACAAAAAAGTCAAGTTTTAGCTTAGGAAATCTTAAGTAGCATTAACAGAACAACATTATATTGCTTATTTAGTTGATTATTATGTATTTAGAACCCTATGCCTGTAAGTAAATCATGCTTTCATTGGTTATTTTCTTCAGATGCCATTTGTTTAAATACTTATGTTGGAATTAGAAGAGCAGCCTTAAACATTTTTGCTTTACAGTATTCCTGGTGTGGAGGCTACAACTACATTTTTTTCTGAATTATTTGTTTACCATGCATAAAAGCACATATAATGCAAAAAAAACAATCATAGTGTAATACAATCCACAGGTCTTATTTTTTTCTATGATAAATATTCATGTCTGTCCTGGGCAGGTTGGTCTCGTAGTTGGTGACCCTGTCCATGTCAGGGGGGTTGGAACTGGATGAGGTCTTTTTCAACCCAGTCCATTCTATGATTCTATGATTCTTTTTTTTTTTTTTTTTTTTTTTTTTTTTTTTGAGCAGCAGATAACATAATCTGTCCTGTTGTCCAAAAAGTAAAGTCAGCATAGATGCCAATTTAGACGTAATTACTACCAAATGAGGCAAAATGTTTTGGAATATTCATATACTTAAAAAATACACAGCTTATTGGAATGTAGATACTGTAACACTGGCCTTATTTTCATCTTCTGATGTTAAAAAGTAGCATTAAGAGCCAAATGCCACAGCAAATCAGGAGCACTCCAGACACTACCACCACTCATCTTTTCTTTCAGCAATTCATTCATGCACTACCTTCATTTTGTCTTCATTGTCATCAGGATCACTAAGACTTCTCTGTGTTATGTAAGCGAACTATACCCCGTTTTTGTCTTCACTGGCATTCTGAGGTACAATCTATAAACATCAGTCCCCAAACATCAATCTAAAAATGTTTACTTATTTCTCCCCATTATAAACACAATTTGCAGCCAAAATTAGCTAAGCCAAGTTAATTTCCTTATTGTATTCTGTGCCACTAGCAACATGTCCTACTTATCCACTTAAGAGATGTTTGTTTGCTTTTCATTTATTTGTTTAGTTTCTGATTTCCTTATGTAGTTCCCATCATCTGGGTCATAGCAGTGCTTCTGTACCTGGTTTTCTCAGTGGAGAAATATGCTGAACTACTATTCAGGCAATCAGAAGAAATATATATCTTCTATATCTATCTTCTGTAATGCTCTAGTGAAATCCCACTGTTCTGTTGCATTTTAATAGACTCTGTGCTTTGCATTTGGTAGACTTTGTGCTTTGCATTTTCTTTTTTCCTCTTTTAATTCATCCTGATTTAGAATTAGAACAAAAGGCGAGTAAATACAATCAGCCCAAGAGGCACAGCCAGTGACAAAGCTGGATGGGGGCACTTCAGGCTTCCTGTCCATGTTACCTCACTCAATCATGCAAGTAGATGTGGGAAGGACATTTCCTACGCAGTTCTGCTTTCTGGTCTTGGTTTGCTGAACTCTTCTAGCATCATACATTTTATTCTGGCCTCATACATCCGAGCCCATGCAGGCTAACTTCCCAGGCTGTTTGTGCGTACACACAGCTATTGGAGACCCCAAAGGTTACTTCATTAGCAGCGTAAAGTTAAAGGCACTAGCTTACTAACTTGAAATCATTCTTCATCAGTGTGTGATTCTGCATGATGATTACGTGGGGACCTTAGTAACTAAGAGCTGCTTTGGCAGACCAGATATTTATTTGCAAACAATGCAGTGTCTTAGCTGATTAAATGAGATGGTTTGAATCTGGCTGTGACACCTTTGTGGCTTTTGTTTTACCTTTGCATAGTTGCCT